GATGGATGGATGGATGGATGAGTGGGTAGATGGATGGATGGATGAGTGGGTGGATGGATGGGTGGGCGAGCATATGGGTGGATGGGTAGGTAGATGGATGGGTGGGTAGATGGATGGTGGGTGGATGGGTGGATGAGTGGGTAAGTGGGTGGGTGATAATTTATTTAACCACTACTTAATGAAAGACAGGCAAAAGATGTTGCTAGTCTTTTGCTAAAATAAACATGGCAGAGAAGATTATCTTTTGGGCAGATCGTTACTCAACAGATTTCTAGTGGCTGCCACCGCCGCCGCCATGGAAACTGGCTTGGAGCAGCGGGCATGATGATGAACGAGAGAGGGGGCAGTGCAAGTAGACTTTGAGAAGAGGCCACTCAGAGAGTCCTTCCAGTCGCTTTAAATTTCCCTCCAAAGATGGGGCCCCAGGCTTTTGCCGACAGTATGTGACTGCCCGATCGCCCAGACCCACACAAACTTGTGTGTCATCAGAATTTTTTTATCTTTGCCAATCTGACAAAAATGAAGATCTTATGTAACTTGCATTTCTTTAATTAAAAGTGAAGTCGCGCATTCTGTACATCTGTAAATAAGTTATTCTATATTTCTTTACCTAGTAACTGCCAGTTCATGTTTGTTGTCTCTTTTTCTGTTGGGTTTTTATTTTTCATAATTGATTTATAAATGCACTTTCTATACCAAGAAAACTCACCATCGTCACATGTGTTGTAGATAATAATGCTTTTCATAGTTTGTTATTTATCTTTTAATTCTTTTAATGATATTGTATGTTGAAATTTTATGTCATTGAATTCATTTTCTTCATTTATATATACATTTTATCCTTATGATTTTTGTCTTGTATGTTTTGCCCAGAAAAGACTTTCCCACTCCAAGTACCTTAATAACTTTTCCACTTTTCCTGCAGTACTTTAGGGTTTCAGTTTAAAAAAATATTTATATATTTCATAGACCTGGAACATATTTTGCAATAAATATCATTACATTTTTCTTGTTTTTAAAAGCGTACACATGGACCTTCCGTATTTTCAGGCTTGGTGCTAGGTATTTTAAGTATCTTCTTACTCTGGTGAGCGCATTTTTAAATTATCGTTTATCTTAGAAGAGGCCACTAGTAGTATAGAAGACTTTCAGAAATTTTTTTATTATTTACACTTAACTGTACATGCCGAACTAAATCTTTGGTCCCATAGTTTCTCAGAAGGAACAGTTATAATACGGTCTCCCGCGTTCCATTATTTTCACATCTCGTTCCGTTGTCCTGTCTGGTTGCGTTGGTTAAAACGATCAAAGTGACATTCGGTATCAGTGGTGTTTCCTCGTCCACTTTGTGTCCCCGAGTTTGATGAGAAGCCCTGAATGACTTGAGCCTGACGCCGAGAGGTTTCAAACAGTTATTTTTCGTAATGTTAAGGTGATAACGTTTGATTTCTATTTTATTAATAGTCTTTTAAAAAATAAAATGGAGGTGAATTTTATCAAAGGTTTTTTGACATCTGTTAAAATTATACATTTTTTACTTCGTTCTGCTGGCACGATAGGTTATATCGATAGAGTCTCATAATTAAACTACGTGGAACAGACTAGCATGAAATCTCCACAGTCTTAAAACATTTTTTTTTATTAAAAACTTCTGAATGTATATCTTCTCAGGAAAATTGCACTTGGCTGGTGCTTAATTTCACATACTAGAAAACTCTAGTTTTACGTGGCTTTTTACGTTCTGGGAAGAAATTACACTTTTTAAAATGTAGAAAATGACAAAAATGTTAAAAAAAATGATAGGCGTACAATTAGGGAAATAAATATATCACGAAAATGAATTCTAATTCCTCCAAAGTAAAGAACATTTCTCATTAGTTTTGAATCACCTGGAATTTCCTTTATGATCATCTTTTTACCTTCTGAAGATAGAGATTCATGAGCCATATGTCACAGATGGATACTTTTGGCAGATGGATACTGCGTTTTCCTCAAGTTAAATAAAACATGTCTCTGAGTGACAGTCATCAAAAGCAGATGCGTCTGCTCGTCCCAACACTTGCTGTGACTTGCACACGGTAAACGCTAAATTATTCGAGTCGAACTGTATTCCCACTTCCTGTCAGAGATTCGTGGGTCTCCGGGTTCACGGTCGGGAGGTGGCGTCACCCACTGTCCGGATCCCAGGATTTCCGTGGAAACCCCGCCGAGCTCGTCCGCGTCGGCCTCATGAAGCAGACGGGGCGCCCGAGGCCTTTCTGGGGGTCGTCCTGTGTTTCGGCAGTAAATCGAGGGGGAAAATCACAGTTTCAATTTTGAAGTTGTTTGAAACTTTAAAAAAATATGGAGTTTCATATTATAGAACAGCAATAAATTCCAGTCCGCGATGGTCGTACTGTGATACGTAAGTGTACAGACATCCCATATGTACAGTTTTACTGGCAAACATATGACAGCGGCCAAGAAAGACTCTAACGATTCAATGTGGAATTTGCTTATTACCGCC